CAGCCAGCGAGCTACTGACCCCTTGTGCGTCACATAGGAGGGCACCATCCTCACCCGGGTATCCAAGTCCTCATCCTTCGTCCTGTCGCCAGAGAAGGGCTTAGGACTCAGCAAGGGTATTTTGGGCATCCACTGCATAGGCTGCATTGGACCAGGAGATTGTCGCAGTGGCTGCATAGCCATCGAAACAGGTTGCTGCGCACTAACCTGGGCCTGGCTTGACAATGGAACTGTAGTAACCACTGTCGTTGATGGTACGGCTGAGACTCTAAGGACTGGACCACTAGTTGCCGCATAACCACCTGAAGGGGTTATGCCAAACATAGGTGAGAATGAGGGTCCAACCGGCAACGGCGTCATCGATGGACCTGCACCCGATGGGGGAGCTACAGCAAACTGAGGCTGCCTCATCACTGGACGAGGAGCCTGTAGTGCAACCATAATTCGTTTCTGGCCTACCACTAGTTCAGCCAACACCTCCTGTTGAACTACCTGCGTCTCCGCCACACACAGGACAAATTTCACAGTGTTCGCATAGCGGGATAAAGTGCGGACTCATCTAGTGCCTCTAGCTTGCCTAGTTCCTGCAATCTACTACCTAGTCTAGCTTTTCTCATTATTGCTCTTCTTCTTCTTCTCTCTGTTGCCTCATCCAATTGCCGATGTAGCTCATCCTGAAGTTCTTCTGCTTGGAGGATTTCATAATCCCTCGGCGTGAGTTGAGCCTGCTGGCTGACTTGCAAGCCAGCACTCTAGCTAACAGAAGCCTGAGTACCACTCTGACTGACTCCTGACGAAGTGGCCTGTGAAGAGGCCTGCGACATGGAGGTGGCCATGGTTGCACCTACACTAGCTATAGTTCTAGATCTGGCGCTGGCCATGGCGTCCCTCGCTCTCCTCGCTGCTGCCCTCTCCCTAGCCTCTCTCTGTAGTCTTCTCTCGTCTCCTGGACCTAACTCTAGGAAAGTCAAGGGTCGACTGAGAGCAGTTCTTCGAGTGACCCTAAGGTCATCCACTAACAACTCCTCCTCACTACTGCTTGCATCACTCATGAGCTACATTGTGTGTGATCTAAACTAGAATCCACACTGAATCCTACCTCAGCATGACACACAACCGATAATGATACACAACTAACTTCGGTCGGCCTGGACAGAAACAGTTAGGTGGTTAGGTGTCAACCAATGTTAGATCCTACAGGGAATATTAAATCAATTTTTTAGATTACTCTAATACAGATTGCGATGCAGCAAAAAATATTCTACTCTATTTGCAGCGGTCTGCCAGTTGTTAGTCAAGTCCGTAACAACTAAATAATCAAAAATAAAAATAATGTTCCCTGCAGAGATGTATGCTGAATGACAGTTTATCAAATTATTGCCACCACGAACAGTTACTGGAATCCCCCCTCTCCCTGTATCCTTCTTGAGTTGTCACTTTGTGTCAACACCCTGAGCATCTGGTTGATCAGCGTGTCTAAAGGTGTGCAATCCGGCCCACCCGTGCGCCCTAAGTCAACGTCGAACCTGCCAGCCCCTGCACATTATTTATCCTCGCATGCAACGAGCCTTACACCCTGTTTGATCTGGCTGATCGGGAGGCATTTAAGGAGATCCCCCGTAACTCCTTAGGAATTATTTAACGTCGTAGACAGGACGACGATCACAACCATAATCAACACCGAGTCCCCGCCATAAATATTTAAAGACGGTCTGGTAAGCGTCTGTTCAAAGGGCTGGCATGCCCTGCATGACCTCTATTGCGCAGCAGCAGAACCAAGGACTTGCGGCAAAGCATGCGTGTACTAGTCCCAACGGGTTGGCATGGTGACCGTGACCCGAGTGCTTCGTCCAGGGCCCTTCAGAGGCATCGCCGTCTCCCACCAGCTTGCTGCCCAGGAAGAATGTCGACTATCAAGGTTGAGCTCTCACGACACCTCACATTGAGAGGACTCTCAAGACAGAACTCGCTTCCTCACGGTAAGAAGCAATTAAGAGGGTAGATAAGGAAGGAAGCAACGTACCTCATAATGTTGCCGCCAACCACCGATTTCTCACCGGCAACTTGATGTGCATTTATGATGACCGGTCTTTGCCTCGACACAACCAACAGCAGAATGCAGTTCCACTTCGGCTTAAATGCCACATCAGCGAGCTCTCATCATCCAGCGTACACCCCTAATGTCACCACATAGCTTCCTGGTGCGCCCACACGACCTTGGGCCGCCTTACGTCCAATCGCCAGAGCCTTATCACTGCCCCACAGCTCATGCGAAGCACCGAACAGCTAATGCGAAGAACCAATGAGCACAGTTCGAACCAGCTTCGATACCAAATTGCAAGGAAAATGAACATGCAATCAGACTCGCTTTCTTTCCACTTCGCACACATGCAAACAGATGGAGACTCACACTGGCGCAGGGCGCCCACTCAAAGTTTAGAGATATGGAAATCAAGAACACAGTTGAGATTCAAGTTCTCTCCAACAGGCTATGGCGCATCAGTGCCTGAACATCCCAACCTTCGTCCCTGTGTCCACCCCCACTGTTCACACACGCTCACTCTGGATCACCCTGAGTACCACCACACACATACGCCATGTCTACTTCCTCCTACAGCGACTATGGCCTCACTACCACTACTGATTATGGCTACGATCTCCCTTCAGCCCACTTCGTCTTCGGGCAACCTGCAGACCACCTTCGCACAAGACGCTGTAGTAGCGCTTCTGCATGGCTTACACAACGAATGAATGTATAGCTGAGCGCTGGCTTCTGGTTTATACTTCTGTAACTCGTTGGTCTGCCCCTTTCCATCAGCCCATGGTGCACACAGTCCCTCTTGGTACTTGCTGGACTGGACTGGGACTGACTTGACCGGTACGGCTGACTGCATGGGTTTGCAATGCCAACTCGATGCAGTCACACTGCCGACGTAACGCAGTTGGGCTCACCACTTGCCCACTTGCCTGTGTCTAAACGTGAGACAAACTTCGAAAGGCTGCTTCCGGAGCTTCCGGAAGTCTGTGGGCTTGGCCTTTCNGGCTCACCACTTGCCCACTTGCCTGTGTCTAAACGTGAGACAAACTTCGAAAGGCTGCTTCCGGAGCTTCCGGAAGTCTGTGGGCTTGGCCTTTCGGGTACTGTAGCAGCTACGACCTTGACCTTTCAGAATGCCTAGAGCTAAGACCTCTACAAAGCTGTGACCCCTACTCGACAGACCTACAGATCGAATCCCTACATCTACACAGTCCTGCGACTGACAAACAACAACTGACAGAACACAGGTCATGGGTTCAAACACTCGGGGGTCAACTCGATATTGTACATGGGTAAGGTAAGGTCTGGGGATCGAACCCTGGAATCTGCGCCTGCCTCTGCAAAGGTGGAAACCGTTTCACTCCCGCCGGCCTAAATTCGAGGTCCTCGGAGAATACTTCAGTCTAAGGCGGGCCTTTTCCTTTCCTGTCTCTTTCATAGGCTCGAACAATGTCGGGAGCTGTCTCTAGAAGTTCTGTTCGGGTGAACCAGCGGTCGTATTTGGCTCTTGATAGGCAAATCGGACTTTGTACTGTTTCTGTGGACGACCTCTACCTCCTGTCCTGAAGACATCCTCACCTACTATCCCTTCAATGTCATATCTTGCATCCATATCCGGAGGAATCATAGATCTGCGTGACGGGAACTGTTGGCTTGTGACACAAGGCAACAATTTTGACGCATGGAACACTGGGTAGGTGTGGAGGTGTGTTGGAATCTCAATAGTGTAGGACGGTCCATCCTCGCCGCCCTTGACTTCTAAGACTGGCCATGGTCCTTTATACGCAGGCAGTAACTTCTGTGAGATGTTCTCCTCAGGAGCGAACTCTTTGGACTTAACCCGGACTAAGTCGCCTACTTGGAACTGTGAGGGGTGACGGTGCTTGGTAGCTTGCTCTATCATTCTGTGATGGGCTTTCCTGAGGTTGTCTACAACAATAGCTATCTCTTTCTCATGCTGTATCGCAAATTCTCGTGTACCGGGTGGTAGCCTCTGAATCTGATCCCGGTTAAGTCCTTCAAATGGTCTGCGCGGTATTAAGGACTTGTGCAGTTCGTTGGGAGTGTGACACGTAGACAAGTGCACACTATTATTGTAGGCACTGGCTACCTTAGGGAGCATCTCATCCAGTTGATCTGATCAGGTTTAATATACATTCTCAGAACTTGCTGTAGGAGCTTGTTCATCTGTTCAGTCTGATCGTTAGTCTCAGGATGTTGGCCAGATGACATCAACAGCTTGGAACCATAGACTTTCATCAATTCCTGCTAGTTCTGACTGGTGAACCTGGTATCTGTGTCACTAACTATCGACAGCGGTATGCCATGCTCATTGACCCAATGGTCAAAAAACTTTTGAACTACTAAGTCAGTGCGTGCCTCTGCAGGCAAAGGAACAAAAACTGCATACTTGCTAAATCTATCTACTATGACCATGACTTGACTTTTGCCATGCCTAATCTTGATCTGAGTATCCATAAAGTCGATGGACACAGAAACTCTGGGTCTGTCAGGAATAGGCAAGGGTTTGAGAAGACCGAGAGGGGCGCACGTAGTAGTCTTGTTTGCTGACAGACTTTGCAACTGCGGACATACTCTATGCAGTCGGCCTTCATACCAGGCCAGATGTACGCGCACATGAGGTTGGCTAGTGTCTTTTGCCAACCAAAGTGTCCCTCAGTATCATGGCATTCCCCTAAGATCAAATTCCGGATCTCTTCACTGTTGGGAACGCACAGGCGGTCAATTACATTCGTCTTCTCGAATAATAAGCCATCAGTAGTGCGGTAGTCTGGCTCAGACTCTGAGGCCTCCCTAACTCTCTTGAGGAGATCACCATAGAGGGTCATGTGCATATGCCTCTCTAACTTTCTGCTGCAGGTCTCTCCCTATATCTAGATAGTGAACTATTGGCCCAAAGTAATCAGCTCTTCTACTCAGAGCGTCCGCTACTACATTGTACTTCCCTTTAACTGGCTTCAGTTCAAAGTTATACTGGTCTAACTCTGCGGCCCACCGAGTAAGCTTAGGTGTCATCTTGGCCTGAGTCTTCAGCCACCTTAGAGTCTCGTGGTCTGAATAGACTTTGAAGTGCCTCCCAAGCAAGTAATGCTTCCAGTGATCTAATGCTTGCCTGAGAGCGTAGAGTTCCCTTTCATAACTGGATGTCGCCATCTTCTTTGAAGGCATTCTGGCGAACATGAACTCTATAGGCCTATATCCATTGCCATCATCTTGCTGTAAAACAGCGCCTATGCCATACTGACTGGCGTTGGTGGTAACAACAAATGGCCGGGACGGATCGACTACCTTAAGGACTGGATATTCTATCAGGGCCGGCTTCAATCTCTTCAGGGCAGCTGTGCAGTCCTTGTCCCACTTCCAAATTGCCTCTTTCTTTAGCAACCTGCGAAGGGGTGCAGCGATGGTGGAGAAGTTCCTTACGAACTTCCTATAGTAATTAGCTAGGCCTAAGAACGATCGCAACTCTGTCAGTGTGCGGGGCGCTGGCCAATCTCTAATCGCTGCGATTTTGTTGTCTTCGGGTCTAATGTCGTCTCTGTCTACGACGTGGCCCAGGTACAAAACCTGTGTCTTGGCCCACTCGCACTTCTTTGCATTGATCTTGAAGTTAGCCTCTCTAAGCTTCTCCAAGACCTGCCTCAGATGACCCTCAGGCTCCTGGAGGGTTTTATTGAACACTAGAATACCATTAAGATATACTACAACAAATCTATCTAACCATGGCCTAAACAAATCGTTCATGCAGCACTGGAAAGTCGTTGGCGCATTGGTTAGTCCAAAGGGCATAACTATAAACTCATAGTGCCCATATCTAGTCCGGAATGCTGTCTTGCATTGATCATCAGGATGAACCTCTATCTGATGATAGCTGGACTTTAAATCTATCTTCGAAAAATACTTGCAGCCCCGCACCCGGTCTAACAAATCGTCTATACGGGGCAGTGGTTCTACATTCTTCACTGTGATAGCATTAAGACCCCTACAGTCTATACACATTCTAAGCTCTCCCTCTTTCTTGGGGACAAAGAGAACAGGTGCTCCAAATGGGGACGAACTAGGCCTAATCCAACCCTTCTCAAAGAGCTCGTCTAACTGCTTATGTAGCTCCTCTAAATCGCTCCCTTAGGAGTCCTACTGCCAGACTCTATCTCTATGCGATGTTGGATCGACCGCGACACTACTCCTGTAGGCGGCTTAGCTAGGTCTGTATATTCTTCCAGCAGCTTGGCAATAGCGGGGTCTATGGGTGTCTCCTCCTTAGGCTCAGTGACTGGCCTCACGTAGGCTACAACAACCTGCTCTTCTAACTGCTCCTTTACTAATCGCGCGAACGCGGGAGCGCTGAGGCAGCAATGTGCCAGAGTGTTGTCTACCCCTGACACATGAAACAGGCGTGCAGTCTTAACTTCACCTGTGGGACTAGGGAGCCTACACTCGTGTTTTCTCAAATGGAGTGTGGCCCCTGCTGCCTCTCCCCAGTCCATTCCTATGACTATATCAAAAGGAAGACTGTCTTCTACGAGGAGAGTCGGGGAATGGAGAACTTTCTCCACCTTCCCATCTTTCTCTAGGTGAAAGTATGCCCGGACTCCCTCGACGTAATCCTCAACTCGCCGATTGTCTGCGAGGATACTAACTATAGGGTCTGCTTACTTTTGGACTTTCAAGTTTAGCTTTAACTTCTACAGCGCTTTCCTACTGATGTAGCTGCGGGTGGCCCCACTGTCTATAAGGGCCCCTACTCTACCTCTAAAAATCTCTACGTCTACTAAAACTAGTTGTCCTTTGGCATCCTTTTTCATCTTGGCTAGGGCAGGCATTCTCTCCTTCAACTCTTCAGCCACGCCTGTGAGGGAAGTACCTAGGGAGACACTTACACAAGCAATCTCTGGACAACTGTCTAGGTACTGGCCAGCAACCTCTGTCGTAGGCTCATGTGGTTTGGGAGTTCCTCTATGGTGCACGCACTCTTCTCCACGTGGCCTAGGGGTAAGGGTAGTTGCCACCCCTACCGGTGGCTGCCTTCTCTGTACTTTGGACAATATTTAATTATGTGGCCAGGATCACCGCAGTAAATGCACTGATTCTGGTCCACACGACGCTGGCACACAGTCTGGTCCAAGCCCAGGTCTTCCCATGGCCTGCCCTGTGGCAAGCCAGGGTGCCATCCACCTCTCCTTGGAGGTGACCGGTAAGATCGTGAGCGATTTGGCGGGGAACCAGCTTGTGCCTGGATCTGCGCTCGTTGCTCCTTGATCACCTCCAACTCCCTCGCTATTTGACTCGCCCTCATCCATCCTTCTTTTTCACTCCCTCATCAGACGCAGTTTCCATTTTAACTTCTTCTCGTCCTCGATTGTCTGGCATCTTAAGGGATCTTGTTCCGCTTCCCACTCCTTAATTATGGCTTCCTTCTCCTCTGGGGAAACATACAACATGGCCTCTTCCTCCTCTCCCAGAGATAAGTTAGCTACCCACTCAGAGATCTTCTTCCAGCCTCGATTCCTCCTTCTTCGTGCCACTGGACTCACCTCTCTCCTCCGTGCGTCTTCTCTCCAAGGGCTCCTCCTTTTCCTCCTCTTCTTCTACCTCTTCTTCTTCTACCTCTTCTTCTTCTACTTCCTTCATCTTCTCTTCCTCCTCCTTTCTCAGTCTCTCCATCTCTTCCTCCAACTTCTTCATCTTCGCCGCCTGCTCCTGCTGTAAGGTCAGCTTTTTGGCCTGCCTAATCAACTCCTTCTTGGCCTCCTTCTCTTTCCTCTCTTTAAGTACTGCGACGGTTTGCTCTTCCTGAGCTTTCGTATAAGGGGTGGTAGTCTTGCCAGTACGTGTCTCAACCATGGTGACAGGTGCACAACCGGATGATAGTTCCGCTCCTCACCACTTAAGCTCACACCCCTGCCTGACTCAACCTAGGACTGACTCAATCTAAGGACCACAAAATCTTAACAAGATCCTGTCAGCTATGGTCTCTAGCCTGGACCTAAACTAAGGCTGTCACTACAGGACTTACTGCTGATCAGGAGGCATTTAAGGACCCGTAACTCCTCAGGAATTATTTAACGCCGGAGACAGGACGACGCGATCAGCAAGTCCTCTCAAGATCAGCCTGTTGTGCAGCCCACAGCTCGGATTTTGGGCCTACCGTGCCACACCGAGCAGCCCGTCGGTCAATACCGGTCCTTGGGAGGGTTCATGTCCTCCGGGACAGTCGAGTCGTCAAACACAGCCTTTAGCCCTACTCAGCCCGTGTGGGTTTGGTCAAGAAGGCTCTATCCTTCATACACAGAGTTCCTATCACCTGGACGAAAGAGACTCGATGCAGAAAGAAGAGACAGACAGACTCATCAAGTACTATGGGGTGAGTGCACATCCATAGGGCGAGGGGATAGGCTGAAGGCTTGACAAGAATATACCAACTCCAGCTTGGTCAATTTCGTGGTCAACAGCCCCGGTCAATGCTGGTCAACGCTTGGTCAACTCGTCGGTCAACTCTTCGGTCAAAGTCTTGGTCAACGCTGGTCAACTCTTCAGCCAACGCCTTATTCAACCCTTGATTCGGCTATGGCTGCTGGCACCTTTCTTCCTCACCAACCTTCCTTATCCTCCTCCTCCCTCCTTCCTTTTTTCTCTTTCTTCCTCGCTTCACCCCGGCTATGGCTTCCTTCACTTTCGTTGTCCGTCCTTTCTTCTTCCTCGGCTATGGTTTCTCTCTCCTTCGTCCCTACTTCCTTCTCCTTTCACCTCACCTATCTCTCTCCTTCGTGATACCCTGTGTCCGAGTTCCGCGGCTATGGGCGCTTTCTTCTTCGGACCGCACAACAATCTTGTATCGCTCCTCTCTCTCTCTCTCTCTCTCTCTCTCTCTCTCTCTCTCTCTCTCTCTCTCTCTCTCTCTCTCTCCGTCGTTGTCTTCTGTGCAGGTACTCAGCACCTCACTCCGCAGCGCAACTATGGCTGATCTTCTTCGATGGTGCAACTTGGCTATGGCGCCTAACTGGCGCGCTCATCTCCTTCCCGTTGGCAACGACGATGGCGCGTGGGGTAACGGGAACCAGCTCCGATACCAATGCAATCAGACTCGCTTTCTTTCCACTTCGCACACATGCAAACAGATCGAGACTCACACTGGCGCAGGGCGCCCAAGCTTAGAGATATGGAAATCAAAAACACAGTTGAGATGCAAGTTCTCTCCAACAGGTTATGGCGCATCAGCGCCTGAACATCCCAACCTTCGTCCCTGTGTCCAACCCCACTTTCCACACACGCTCTGTATCACCCTGAATACCACCACACACATACGCTATGTCTACTTCCTCCTACAGCGACTATGGCCTCACTACCACTACTAATTATGGCTACGATCTCCCTTCAGCCCACTTCGTCTTCGGGCAACCTGCAGACCACCTTCGCACAAGACGCTGTAGTAGCGCTTCCGTATGGCTTACACAGCAAATGAATGTATAGTTGAGTGCTGCCTCTTGATTTATACTTCTGTAACTCGTTGGTCTGCCCCTTTCCATCAGCCCATGGTGCACACAGTCCCTCTTGGTACTTGCTGGACTGGATTGGGACTGACTGGACCGGTACCGCTGACTGCATGGGTTTGCACTGCCAACTCGATGCAGTCGCAGTGCCGACGTAACGCAGTTGGGCTCACCACTTGCCCACTTGCCTGTGTCTAAACGTGAGACAAACTTCGAAAGGCTGCTTCCGGAGCTTCCGGAAGTCTGTGGGCTTGGCCTTTCAGGTACTTTAGCAGCTACGACCTTGACCTTTCAGGACTGTAGCAGCAACGACCTTGACCTTTCAGAATGCCTATAGCTACAACCTCTACAAAGTTGTGACCCCTACTCGACAGACCTGCAGATCGAATCCCTACATCTACACAGTCCTGCGACAGACAAACAACAACTAACGAAACACAGGTCACGGGTTCAAACACTCGCGGGTCAACTCGATACTTTACATGGGTAAGGTAAGGTCTGGGGATCGAACCCTGGAATCTGCGTCTGCCTTTGCAAAGGTGAAAACCGTTGTAGGGCCAAACCCCGGTAGACTTTCGAGCCTTAGTCGACCCCACTGCGAGTCCCAGAGCTTTGACATTGGGGATCTAGCTCAGCCCTCACGTCGGGTGGTAGTCTCGCTGGTCATTCCGTAGCGCTGATTTTTTTATATTCTTTGTTGTGTTCTCAAGCAATTGCTCCTTCCAATACACAGGCAGTCCAGGGGTTCTTTGAGAGTTTTCTTCCTTTTGTGAGCAGGCTAAGCGTCATCCTTAGGCCACGCACCATTTCCCTAAACCTTGTGTACATATGGTGTCATCGGGGTGCGGCGGAGCCGTCCTCCCCCTCGCTTCTACGCACCGATTGGGCCTTATACATCTCTTTTAACTCCGTTGAGGCAGTTCCCTTAGTCTTTTCGGGGCCTTTATATGCATGCACACACAACACCACATTTCCCTTAGCAAGATTGTACTTTATTCACACACCAAATTTCAAACACAAAGGTCATCTCCATGGGGTGGCTTTACGCTAAGGGTCCCATAGCCCGTTTGTCCTTCTTCCCTTTCCCTCTTGGTGCCCGGTTCCTCCCAGCCCTATCCCGCTCAAGGTATCCTTTGCCATCACTCACCTGCACAGTCCCACACAAGGCAAAGATCCATACAATCCCCCGTTGGGGGTCAACATATAGCCCTTCCCACATGCCTATCTTTTCAAGCTCTTTGGCCGCTCTTTGTTCTCTTTCGTTGCTCAATCAGCCCATTCACTTCTCATAGTCATACAGTCGGGGAAATGGTTGAGTCAAACTGACCTTGCTTTGCCTTCTTGGTGGCACAAGTCATATAGCCCTTCCTACTTATACTCTCTCTCGGGTTCCGCCTCTTTTTCCCACTTTCTCAACCGTCCTTTCCTTTGCCTTCTTGGTGGCACAAGGGACCGACTATCCTCCCCTAGCCCTCTTTCTCCACCAAGTGAGGTCTGATCTCTTCTTACCGTTCGCACCCTGACAATGTACCAAGTGAGGGGTGAAGGGTTAGTCATATGCCAGGTAAGGGGAAGAGAGAGAGGGAAGCAAAGTGAACGAGGAGAGAAAGAGTGGTAGAGAGGGAGGAGAGAAAGAGTGAGAGAGAGAAAAAAAAAAATGAGAGAGAGAGAGAGAGAGAAAGAGAAAGAGAGAGAGAGAGAGGCAGAGAGAGAGAAGAGAAGAGAGAGAGGGAGAAAGAGAAAAAGAGGGAGGGGGAAGGAGAGAGAGAAGAGATTTTTAATCCTAATCAAGTCATCACCCGTAGTAGCAGCCAAATGCCGGTCACCCATCCCAAAGTAAAAGATCAACTAATTATGAACCGGATACTATAACACACATGAACTTGCCAATTGAGAAGCTTAAACTAGTGAAAAACAGATGCACATGGAGGAAAGATCAACTAAGTAAGATCCGGAACATCACATCAAGCATGAACATGACAATGAGAAGTTAGAACCGACGGAAAGCACATGCACATAGGGAAGAGATCAACCGGAACATCACACCAAGCATGGACATGACAATTAGAAGCCAGAACCAATGGAAAGCACATGCATATAGAGAAGAGATCAACTAAGTAAGATCCGGAACATCACATGAAGCATGAACATGACAATGAGAGGCTAGAACTAATGGAAAGCACATGCACATAGAGAAGAGATCAACTGGAACATCACATGAAGCATGAGCATGACAATGAGAGGCTAGAACTAATGGAAAGCACATGCACATAGAGAAGAGATCATCGAAGTAAGATCCGGATCATCACAACACATATGGACAAGACAATGAGAGACTAGAAGAAATGGAAAGCACATGCACATA